AGACAGACAGAGACAGACAGAGAGACAGAAAGCGAGAAATCACCCCCAGGGGGGACGGTCATGCCACAATCCCGTCTCCTCCATTCTCCTCTCGGGATCTTGGGCACGCACGCACACGCGCCCGGAGTGAGTTTTTTAAGCCACCGGGTCTGGGACGCGAACCGCGGTCGACTACGTGGGAGTCTAGCGAGCGACATAGCCATTACGCTAACTGCTGGTTCCCACCACCAAATTCTGAGACAGGGCCACCCACCCTTTTTGCAGCCCTCCACCCCCTGCCTGGAGTACCAAATGGTCCAGCTGCTACCCTTACCTCCTCCATGTGCAAAAACTCAGGGAGGTTCATGGCACCTTCCCTGTGTGGAGAACTTAGGCAGGCAGGCTGAGCAGGAGCCCTGGTACTGCCACCCAACTGTCAAGGGCTCTGCCCTGGAGCTTAAGGAAGCTCCAGTAGCTAGAGAGCACGGGAGAGTGGGATGGATGTCTGGTTAAAAAAAATGGATATCAAGGATCATACCTCTGCTCAGTGCCGTGCTTCTGGTTTCCGAAGAGGAGTCTCAATCTTTTCTCTCCATGAGCTAGGTCGTGGGCAATGACACCATAGCAATGACACTGTGCTGGGGCCTCAGAGGCATCAAAGCCCAGATTTATAGTCACCCTGAATGTGGAGAGCCTGGCAGACAGGAAAGGTGGAGGGCTAGAGACCTGTATCCTCAAAGCCGCAGGCCACAGGAGGAAAATGTTTGTGTAAAGTACTTCCCCATGTTCCAGGCTCTGGCCTCACTATGTGGAGAAACTCAAGGGTTAACCCCTGCCTCCATCCCCCCACTCAGTCTCATCCCCTCTGTAAAGGGAGAAGGAAGCAGAACACGTCCCCCCCCGCCCCCCTCCCTACACACAGTAGCTGGCTGAATTTGTGGACCCCTTGCTGCACTGTAGGATGCTTCTGGATAACATGGCACTGGTATTTGTGTGTCAGCTGAGGGACCCTGGCATTCCCTGAGGTCTTATAGGAAGAGATATGAGAGCTTATGCCCAAGGACTTAAACTAGTTGGTGTCCCTGGTCACACTGTTCCTCCTTAAGGCTGAGGTCTGGTTTAAGTTCTCCTCATTGTACAGCACCCTAACCACCGCCTCTGCCCCAGCCACCAGCCTGGCTGGTGCTGGCACCCCGTAGAGGAGCTGGCCCTGCTGAGGGACCCTGCACTCTGTCCAGGAGGCTCCAGAAGAATCTTCAGGCTTCTCTGCCCTCTGGAGGGGCCGCCTCTGCCTTGCCATTCCCCAGGGTCTGGCGCATAGTAGATGCTCAATACACATCTGGTGAATGAGCGAATTAAAGAATATATTTCCTCATGGGACAGCATGGGCTGGTGGGGGGGTGAGGGGAGAGGTGACAGAGACTGCCCCTTAATTTTTTTCTCTTCCTTTATAATAGAGTGTGGTGCCTCCCCAGGGAGGCCGCTGGCCCCTGGGCAAGGCAGTCTTTACCTGGAGGCAGGTCCAAACCAGATCCAGGCCAGAGTCTGGCTGGCGCAGAAGGGAAGCCAAAGCCAGGCAGGACCAGGCGTCTGGAATGGCAGTTTTGTTAGATGGGTCCCAGCTCTGCTGCCAGGGCCCTGCCATCTCCTGAGGAATGGAGGTTGGGGACTTTTCCTAGCCAGGCCATGGAAATGAGAAGGCAGAGAAGCAGTGACGTGCAGGCTGAGGGAGGGGGCGCTGTGCGAATGCCAATGTGCCAACCTCTGTCCTCGGAGTTCGTTTATTAAAAACCGCCCCAATCCCAGCTACTCCTCTGATGGGGTTGGCGGATGGAGCGCAGAGCGCTGGGACGCAGCGAGCCCACGGCCTGAAACCCCGCCCCTCGGCTGGCCCAGTAATTTCCGTCCGTGACCGCAAGGGGCACTACAGCCTTCTGCCACCAATCAACAGGCGGCACAGAACGGCGCCTGGCAGCCTCAGAGAGGAAGGAGGCCATTTGCAGGGGCTAGCAGGTTTACTGGGTGTGAAGGGTTAGGGATAGGGCACGAGAAAGGGCCTTGTCCAGGATTTGGGGCCATGTTCCAGGAGGAAGATAAGACACCGATTCAGGTTCTGTTAGGGACGTGCCCGGCTCCTGTCCCCTCCCATTGTCTGGCCTCCTCTGGCCAGCTTTGTCCCTTTCCCTGCCTCTTAACAGGCCCTCGAGCATCCTGTCATTCTGTTTTCATGGCTTATTGTTCTCTACTTGCCAGGGGTTTGACTATTGTGCATCCCCTACAGTCAGCGAGTCTATGGTGGTACCATTAGGATAGCGAAGGATACACTATCTTCATAGTTGTCTCCCAGCACTTGGCACTCCCCAGCGGCTGGCACAAAATAGATGCTCAATACACATTTGGTGAATAGTGAAAAAAATTCCCTCATCAGACATCATGGGCTGAGGGGTGGGAGGGAGGCGTGTGTGTGTATGTGTGTGTGTGCATGCACATGACAGAATGTGTGTGTGTGTGCACATGAAGAGAGAGAGATGAGCACTCTCCACAGGGTCTGGTCACACTGTGATCCTCTTAACCCAGTCCTCAGCTAGTCAGTTATCAGGTACTCATGCACAGGTCAGGCATGCTTCAGGCCTACCCACCCAGGGATTTAAACTCCAGTCACCAAGTAGAATCTGGCTTCTCTTGAGTGGCACATTATTGCTGCACACAGAGCCAACCCCCAGAGTCTCCTTTTTTTTTTTTTTTTTTAGAATTATTTAATTTTATTCATCATCATCATCATTATGGTCTTATTTTGACCAGAAAGAGACAGAGAGAGAGGAGAAAGCAAGCCACCAGGTCCAGGACTCAAACCGTGGTTAGCTATGTGGGTGTCCAGCACCTTAACCACCACACCATCTGCTGGCCCCAAGACTACTTTTTTTTCTTTTTTCTTGCCAGAGGTAGGAACTGGGGCCACAAGTGTGATTCTTTTTTTTTTTTTTTTCGTAAGATTTTTGTTATGCAGGCCAGAGAGAGTGGAGGAGAAAGTGAGAAATCACCTATTCCCCAGGGAAGAGTGGCCATGCTGTACTCCTTTCTCCTCCATTCTCCTCTTGAGATTCTGGGCATGAACACACACATTACCAGTGTGATTTTCAACCATGGTCCAGCGCCTTAACCACTATGCCACCTGCTGGCCCCAAGTGCCACTGTTTATTTCTGAGGGTCTTGTAGTCACATGAGGATTTGATTTTCAGATCCCTTTTTGCTTTTACAGAACCAGGAAGTCTCAGACACATATGGAGGACTGAAGAACAGAGGTGGGGTGGTTCTTGCACTGTGCTTGGAGTAGATCCCCTGCATTGTCAGCAGGCGTCAGTGCTGTGTCCTGGAACGGAGGCCCCTTTCAGGGCTGCAGAGTGCCCAGGGCCTCTGACCAGGGGATCAGTTCCTTAGCATATGTTCAAAGTGCCGATGAACTGAGGAGAAGGTAGTCTCCTGGGACCCAGGTCCCGGATGCTAAACAAATTTGATATCTTAAGTTTGCCACCCAGCCCATTTCAGAGCTTGAAAGCCACTTAAGTCATTAAGTGTCTTGTGGACAGACACCCTGGTGGCCGGTGGCATGCCCTCATTTAGGACCCCCCTCCTTCAAGGATTTGAGTGTCTATCTGACCAGCGGTAAATCTGAACAAGGACTGATAGAGACCTCAACTCTGGCACATCCAGTGTGAAGACCCGAGCTGATGGTTAGGATTTTAAGTCAAAGCTTATATGCAACTTGAGAATCCATTTAACCTTTAACTCTTGCTTTGAGTGTTGCAAAAATTCCCAAATCTAACTAAACCAAACCAAAGCAAAATGTAGGCAACTGACTAGCAAACAGGCAGAGAGGTGCCTTACCAAGACTCCCTTTGAAACTAAATGTTAACTTGACTTCCTTTTGTACAAATACTTACCTATGAACACACCAAGGACTTTTACACACACACACACAACACAAAAGGGTCTGTCGCCAACTATGGCAGTTTGGATAGGCTGACTTCTCCCAGTTCCAAGGAACAGAATAATTTGATATGGACTCCGCATCTCATCAGGTTAAAAAATCTCCAGCAGTGTGGTGCCAGCATGTGGTGTGGTGGGTAGGGGTGCTGGACTACCACATAGTCGACTATGATTTGAGCCCCTGACCTGGTGGTGGCTTGCTTTCTAGCTTTCTCTCCCTCTCTGGTCAAATTAAAGTAAATAAAGTTAAATAAAATAATTATTTAAAAAAAAATCTCTAGCAGTGCAAAAGCCTGGATGTGGGAGTGGGGAAGAAGTGTCTGTGCAGAGTTGCCAGGGTTTTTGGGTGTTATAGGCTGCAGTGCGGAGAGAGACTGAAATACGTTCCTCTCCACCAGCAGATCCCAGGAGGAACTCATGCATGCAACTCTAAATCCTGTTTATTTTTTTTCTGTTTTGTTTTCCTTTAAAGCCTAAAGCATGATGTGGCCGCTTCAGTGGGTGACAACTCCCCAGGTAGCCTGTGTGGCCGAGGTCCCGCTCAGGTCTGAGCGGGCAGAGCCAGCTCCAACAAGTGCGGGGGGGCCCCCCCCCCCTCAGCCACAAAGTCTCCCCGCAACTCGCGCGGGTCTCTCCCTGCCTTCATTGCTGGGTAACAGGCCGGGCCCGAGCCGGAGGGTGCAGAGACCAGCCCGCGGACCGCTCGCAGCTATTTGGGAAGAGTGAGGGGGATAAAGCGGGAAACAGAACCGAGTCTTCCCTCGCCCCTTCCTTAAATTCCAGCATCCTCCACTCACTGTGCCCGGGTGCGGCCTACTCAGTCACCCGCCCCGAAATCACCCGCCCCGAAATCCGAGGGACTGCGAGAGCAGAGTGGGAGCTACCGAGAGGAGCGCGGAGGGGCGGGAAGGAAGCGACGAGAGCCGGACAGGCAGCGATTGACTCCGCCGCGAGCACGCTGAGCCGGGCAAGCTGACAGCCGGGCCACCTGTACGGGCGCATGTCACAAGCACCCTTCTCCACCCTCTCCCTAGGCCTGGGCGCAAAGAACAACTGAGCTGGCCTGAGAGTGGAGGTGGAAGTCGCGGTCCGCCTGGGCGGCTGCGGCCGCAGAGTGAAGCCTTTTCCACCGCCCGGCCTCTCCGGAGCGCAGTGCCCGCGCGACCGCATCCAGGGAGCCAGTGGGCACCTCATTCGCCCCCTGGCGGCGCCGGGGACGTGCCGGACGCCGCCGCGGAATGAGCTGTCCACAGCAGCACTGGGCGCTGAGCGAGATCATGGAAGAATCTGGCAGCGGCTGGGAACCGGGGAGTCAGGCTGCCTTCGGAAGAAAAGGGGGGAGGGTGGATGGAACAAAGCAACTGTAAGATTTGGGGGTTTCCCGCAGATCCACGTGCTCCACATCCAGCGTGGGCTTCCCCACTACTGTGATGACTGACAGACAGAGAGGAATCTCATCCCCCAGTGGTCCTCCCTCACCTCATCCAATCTCCTTGGACATAAAAGCATCCCTCCTTCTCGCCCTTTCTGGAAAATATCTCGCATATCTCCCCTCCTCCTGCAGTGACCTGACTATGGTGGTTTGGGCCCATCCAGTCACCCTGGGCCTGTCTGCCCCTTAAGAACTCTGAGGCTATGCCAGGGGTTCTTAGGAGAGCAGCAACAGTCAAAAAGTGATCCCTTGAGTGCCCTTGGTAGTCTGGCACTTCCCTAGGCCTCATGGGAGGTGAAAGATCTTGACCTCTGGATGCTTTCAGTCTCAGGAGACAAGTACACTCAGGAAACAATGGGCACAGCCAATGGCCTAGGAGCAGGAGCCTCAGGGGAGGGCATGGTGGGGATGGGCCGGAGTGTGAACACTGGAGCTGTTAGAACTTGCTAAGCAGACAGGACTTAGGAAAAAGAAAGAATAGTCCTTGCCCCATCTGAGGTGAAATAGAGGGCTGGTATGGGAGGGCTGGGGCTCACCCCAGAGGCCCTGTGAAGGTCTGCTTCTGCAGTGGGAGAGCCAGAGGGAAGGGCAAGAGATGGGGGCTAGAAGCCCCTTTGGGAGAAAGCAGCAGTAACCTGTTCTGCAGCACTGACTGAGGCAGGGGGAAGGCCACCACTTGCACTGTCCTGAGGGGCATGTGTGCAGGTGAGGAAGCAGGGGTCCTGGGCCTCTTCAAGAGGTCGGGTCATACACTGAACAAAAAAAAGAGATTGGGCGAGACTTAGATATTTTTGTCAGGTAGTAGGAGAGGGAGGGGAGAGAAAGCAGCTCCATACTAGATCCAAAGGCAAAAAGATTAAGATGAGAGTTATGGGGTGGGACACAGTTACGTGAAATACGGAGGGTGGGGGAAT